TTTTTTTTTTTGTAAGAGTAGGAAGTATTTCTTGAGAGAAAGATACTTTCTGTCTAAGAGAGACAGAAGGGAGTCCTGAAAGTGGGTTGCCCTCTCTTACTTTCCAATTAGAGTTTTCACTTGTAAAGTCATGCTGGTTGCCTCAGTTTTAAATTACCTCTCTAGGCCTCAACTCTAATGTTGTTGTATTGAGAATCAAACTTTCAATACCAGAGTCTTTGGAGGACACTTCATATTTAAAGCATGACAACCATTCATGTATTTTAACTCCTTTAATCCTCATAAGCAATCGATGAAGTAAATATAACTATTATCTCTGCCTTAAAGATGAAAAAACTCAGAAACAGAAAGATAATTTGCCCAAAGGTGTACAAATAACAAGAAATGAACTCAGATTTAGTTACAGTACAGTTGACTATAGGGGAATGTGTTTTTAAAAACAAAAAAACAAAGCTTTTTTCATATTCCTTTACTTGGTTTACACTAATGTTAACTCTTTACATAACCATAGCATATTTATTAAACCAGGAAGTAAACATTGGCAAAAAATTGTGAACTGAACTGCAGATTTTATTGGAATATTGCCAGTATTTACCCTAACACTTCCTTTCTGGGCCAGGGTCAAATCTTGGATTTCATATTAGATTTAGGTTTTGTGTCTCCTTAGTCTTCTTCAATCTTTGATGGATTTGCGTTCTTTGTTTCTCTTTTATGAACTAGAGATTTTGGAAGAGCATTGTTCAGTTTTTCTGTAAAATATGTCCCAAATTTGACGTGCATGATGTTTTGTTCTAACTTGATACAAGTCATGCATTTTTAGCATAAATATGACAGATGTGATAATTATATTTGCTATTAATTGGATGTTTGTGTTCTTTCAATGTTTACATGTTGAAAATGTAATCCCAGTGTAATGGTATTTTTAGGTGGGGCCTTGGAGAGGTGGTTCTGTCAGGAGGAAGGAGCCCTAGTGAATGGATTAGTGCCCTTCTAGAGAGACTCCAGAGAGCTCCTTGTCTTCCTGTGCCCTGTGAGAAAACAGTGAGAAGATGACTATCCCTGAGCCAGGAAGCAGGTCCTCACAGGCACTGAACCTGTTGGCGCTTTTAGCTAGGACTTCCCAGCTTCCAGAACTGTGGGTAATAAATTTCCTTTATTAAAGCCTCTCTGTTTAGGGCATTTTGATAAGAGCTGGACTAATCAAGTGTCCTTATCCGTGTTGTTTCAGAGAGTATGCAGTGTCATTTGGTTGCTATCTGTTATGTCTCCCTACATAATGTCATTTGGTTGGTATATGTTAAAGTGATCATTATGTTCCTTTGTAATTGATAAGTATCTTGAGGGATATGCTTTGAGACTAAGCATCTATTGTTTTCCCCCAACAAAAAAATTGTTTTTAACCACCAATCTGTACTTCTCTTAATCAAAATAATTCCTACGGGGAGTTCAGAGTCATGCTCACAAAAGAGAAGGCATTTGGCTTGAAGCAAATATTTGATTTTATTAGGCAGAAATAAGGGAGAAGCGTTTTATGAAACAGCCTAAAGGAACAAAATGAGCTAATGTTCAGAGGTCTGAATATGCATAGTACAGTCAGTGAGTCTGGTACTATGTATGTAGAGAAAGTGACAATTTAAGCTTAAAAGATATAGGAGCATAGGTCATCTATGAGTCAAATTCTCAGCTGGGGTGGTTAGCCCTTTTCCCAAGTTTCATGTTCCTCAGGTTCTAAAAATTCCTGATTGGGGAAGCAAGAGTTATACTTCTTATAGCCCATACCATCATCTGAAAAAGGACATTAGATAGTTTCTAAGGTCCCTCTCACTCATGAAACTTTGTGGTATTACGAATTGCCATCATACTGATTTTTTCCTTATCATCATATATAGAGGATTATAAAGTTCAGAGCTGAATGGAATTCACAAATTGATGCATGAAGCCACTTTCTCTTTTCCTCTCATCAAATCATAGTCATAATCTGAGCTGTTTAAGGTGAATAAGCAGGAACTCGATTAGCTAGATGTGCCCTCTATCCAGGCCTACAGGGTCTTCTATCAAAAATAGAGAAAATATGAGAAGGAAGAAAGTTTATCAGGGAGAAAGATGAGCTGAAATTTGGAATGGCTCCATTGAAAGGAATGTTCTTTAATCTGATACAAAATATAGAATTAGATGTCAGGATTCAATCACTTTACACAGCAATCTACCATGGGTAGGCTGCAATAAAGCTGAAGCCACGGGGCAGCTTCCTTCTCCTTGTACTATAAATTTAAATAATCAAAGGTAGTGGTAGGCAGAAAAGAAGAGAAAAATTTTCAAAGGAAATTGGAAATGGGGGATGGAGGTGGAGTTATGAAATTGAAGAAGAAATATAAAAAATATTGTCTCTGGAAGGAAGTTAGCTTTCAGGAAGATCAGTTTGGTCCTTCCCCTAGGCATGGCAAAGAAAAAATAAAGGAGAGCGCAGATCAGTAGGTAACAAGGCATCTTAACCTCACTCAATCTTATCAGCAAATGGAACTTCATAAATAGACCGTATTGATGAAAATAATTTTATACAGTCTTTTTCATTACTGAATACCACTGTACTTTATAAGAGTCCCAAACTGATTTTTAAATTTCAGATCAATTCAAGAAAAATTTCGATGGATTATGACTAGGTCCTTGATTTTCTTCCTTAGGTTATTGTGTAATTATTCTCTGTGGACTGGGTAGTGCATTTGATAGATTCCTTGCATAGAAATAAACAAAAATTTTGAAACCTGGCTATTTCTCAGAACTTATTACCTTTGAAGCTTTGTTTTATTTTAAAAACTATCTATAGTTTGTGTGAATTTAATCCATCTGATGATTAAAAGTGTATTATCATCCATAATGTCCCAGTTTTTTGCCTGCTGAATTATTGATGTTGGGGATATTTTATCTATATTACTCCAGAAGGGATTTAAGATGTCTGCAAAAACATCTTAATAATATAAAATAATATAAAGTACAAGTAAGTGAGAAAGAAAAAAGTGAGTCAGCAGATAAATTATAATCAGAGATAAAGCTAATGTGAAAAAAGATTCCTATTCTGAACTTTCTAGCATATATTTATGTAAATTCTAAGACTAGAAAATGGTAGAAAAATAGTTGTTTTTCCTCAGTGAAGGACTAGGTTTATTTAGACTGGAAAGATATTTCTCTTGAGGTCTTTCATAAAAAGAATACCACAATATCATGAACAAATTTCTCAGTATTTCTTATACTGAGGCATTACATTTCACAGGATTGTTTCTTAAGGAGTCCCTCAAAAAAAGACTGATGGTGACAGTTAAGAAGTAATGTTGAAGAACCTCTCTTGTGGTGTTTGGAACGGTGTTCATACTACACGATCCATTCCGTTTATGACTTCCTGCTGGCTTGACTTAATCCAGAGGCAGATTTTTATAGCTCCTGGAGAAAAGAATGTATTGTAAATTTGAGGTTCACCTGCTCTCTCATCTGGGCTTTTGGTAGCAATGATGCTTTAGTTAGGGACATTTTTAGTAGTAGATAACAGAATTCTACATAAAGTAATGCAAGAAAAGTGTGTGGGGATATGAAGAAGAGTGCCATAATTCAAATATGAGAGTAGAGAATAGCTAAACCCCATGGGAAAAGTACCAGGGAATTGCAAAGGAATAAGGTAGCTACTTCATCTGTCTCTCTCTGGGCTTATCAGTCATTTGTACACTTTGGTTTTATGTTTGATATTTTCTTCTCTAGAAAAGCATCACCAGGAGAGCCTAAAGCAACCATTGTAGCTTTCAAGATTAACAACTCAACTACCCCCAGATCATAAACATCCATCATTTGAATTGTCCAAGCCTGAATCCCAGGGAAAGAAGATGGTCCAGCTCTTCTTTTAGACTACTGGGAGCAGTTGAGAGTTGGGGAAATAGCTGTTGAATATGATGCGTTTTGGCTGGAAGAGAGTGATTGAAGGTGTGGGAACATTCGGTACAATCTCAGGTTTGACTCCTCGGCATAAGGGCAAAAAGTGAGGGGAGATTCCAAATGTGAACACACTGTAATCCAAATATGGTAGGTTACTCAGTAAACCATGCGTCTTTAAAGGACACACCTATTGTTTGGGGTACAGAATATCTTACAGATAGGTTGGATTAGACCAAAAAATATAGAGTAGTCTCTTGGTAGAAGGAAAAAAGAATTTCTCTGATAGATACCCTGTTGTCCTTTCCTTAGTCAAAATCAGTCTCATAGAGTGTTTCTTAAATTATCCCACACTGCTTTCTAGTTTTTTTTAGTAGTGTATGTTTATAATACATAATTACATTCATCTTGGGAAATTGGTACATATACATATCGAATCTTGATCATTTTTATTCCCCTTCCATTTGCCCCACTCTCCCTTCTGCCCCTTCCCCCATATCCCTCTCCCACCTCCACAAAATCCACACTTTTAATTGATGGGGCTGGTGGAAGCCACATTCTCTGCTCTGCATCTTCACTTAAGCCCTGGAGCATGGGAGTAGCTATAGTTCTAATTAATGCAGTGTTAACCACAACTCAGTCTTTAGCTCAATTTCCAGAGGAGCCCATATTTATTGCTTAGTTACATAAAGTGACACTGCCCTATATCTGGAGGGTGTGTGTGTGTGTGTGTGTGTGTGTGCGTGTGTGTGTACAGTCTTTCTGTTTTGCTTATTTGCTGTATTCTCTTCCTGTAACAACTGGAGTAGGTGATAGGGACGAGACGGGGGAGAAAGGTAACAAATTTACTTTTCCTTTCTAATCCCTTCTCCTTGGTCCTCCCCAAACTTGAGACAATTTACTTGTGTAAATATAACATTTTGGCTTAGCCATCCTACCTGCTAAAAACACTTAAAAATAAATAAATCTATAATCAGTGATCCCTGAAGTAGGGTATAGCAAGCTCATTCAATAGGATTCAAAAATGTATATAATTTCCATTCATATATTTTAAAATCAGACTTTTAAATCTTTTAGTTTTACATGTTTTAATTATATACAATTTGTTAACACAGAAGTGCAACCACATTCTTGATGAATAAATACATGTTTAAAGACACATGCTTAAATAACTTTTTCCAGATTTGTTGCATCATCAAAAGTTTAGCGACCACTAGAATTGATATCTCACTGAATGAACATTATAATTTTTTCTGAAGAAGCTTAACCTTTCCCCTTTTGGGTCTGCAACCAATTCTAACTTCCTCATAAGGGCCTGGTCTCATAGCACATTACATTATTCAGCACATTGAGCTTTCAAGCCACTCACACTTCAGTTAAATATTTATTTAGTATGGAACACCAGGAGACAGATTGGACTATGGTAATTTATTTATGTATTTAATTTTGAATTAGAAAGTATGCAACAAGCAGTCTATGATCACCGCAGGGGTAAGGACCAGCTTCTGAGTATCAGTGTACGTCAGTTTGCAGCGTTTTTAGGAATGCTCAGTAAAACAGTAAAACTTTGAACTGGGAACCAGACATGCAGTGTCTGTTTCTTGAGGTCACCCCACTCAGTGACATGTATGCCATGCCTTGCGGTTTTGTCACACAGGTACTCCACATGTAGCACAATTCCTCGAGTCCTAGGTGGTCAGTGATTGCTGAACGGCGGAGGCAGGAGAGCACAGAGGACTTAGGGATGACTGAGTTATTTATGCAGAGCACCAAGGCCGGCTATTAAAGGGCACTGATGTTTAGATGAGCACTTTACATTTTACTCTTCCAAAGATCCCATAGAGTGCGATTGTTGTCCCCATTGTGCAGATTGTTTCATCTCTAATGCCCCAGCTTTCTCATCTACATAAGGGCATACTAGCTGTAAGTGTCAGAACTGGGATTTGAACTTGTGACTGATTCAAAGCCCATGCACTTTCTACTGTGACATCTTTCCTCTGACAATTTGGCCCACATAGGTCTATTACCAGTTGCAGTAAACTGGACCTGCATGCACACCTGAGGCTGTATAAATTAGCCCAGAGTCAAGTGAGCTTGAGTGATTTTTCAGCTCTATAGAATACGTATTCATTCATCTAGGACATATTCTTTGACCATTTACTGCATTCCAGACACTATTATGTGCCTTGAACATACAGTAATAAACTATGAAACATCCTTACTCTCAGTCTTGTTGAGAAGAAGACCATAAATAAGTAAATAATTCTGTAAGTAAGATTTTTTTATAATCCAAAATGAAATAAAGATGGTGTAATAAGGGTGCTGGGTATTGGGGAAGGCCTCCCTGAGGAAGTCATATTTGCACTTAATCTTTAATAATGAGGAGGGTCCAGCCTTTCAAAGAGCTCCAGAACAGCAAGCTCAAAGACTAAGGTAGAAACAAGCATGTGTGATTTAGAATAAACAGTAGTGTGAGTGGAGCTTAGTAGAAACAGCAGTCAAGCAAGAGAAAAGTCAGAGACAAGCTCTTGAGTAATAGGGAGATTTCTCTCCTGGAGACATTTGTTTAATTTTAAGGTGGAGATAAGACCCAGGACTGAGGAGGTACACTGGGGTTGGAAAGCCAAACATAGGGGTGCCACTCCTTTTTTGTCCTATATAAATCCCCAGGTCCATGTTCCCAGGCTCCTTGCCTATAGTACACTCCTGGCATGCAGGATGCCATCCGGTTTTCTTAATATATAGTGTGATCCATCTTTTTTAGTAGAATTCTGGCTGCCATTTGAAGAATGCTTTAAAAGGAGGAAAATAGGGGCCGGGGATTTAGCTCAGTAGTTCTGGCACCTGCCTCGCAAGCGCAGGGTCCTGAGTTCGATCGCCGGTACCAAAAAATAAAAAAATAAAAAATAAAAGGAGGAAAATGGAAGCAGGAAACCAGATAGAAATGTCAGTAGATTAGGATTGTGTGATGGTGATGGTGGTAGAATTTAAATATTCACAAACTACTTTGGTAATAGAGTCGATGGAGCTAGTTGATGAGATTAGGGGGAGAAGGCCAACTGACTTTGAATTTTGACTTGGATGGTGGATCAGTTTCAGAGCTGGAGAAGCCTGGAAGGAGGGCAAGTGGTGAAAGGTTAGGATGATGGACAGATGAGACATGTGGTTCTCACTCATGGTAAATACCACTCAGCAACATTGGGGGCAGGCCTCTTCTGTATGAGCTACCTAACTTGGAGAGACAGGAACAGGTAGTTCACCTATTTTTACAGCTCAGAGGCTGCTATTCTGTGTTCCTTGTAGAATTCCAGTAAATCCTCCTCTTCTTAATTCCTATTTAAAGGCCTGATCTACGTGGTGGTTCCAGTCACATTTGCCTGTCATCTCCAAAATCCAAGCTCTGCAATTGCCTTGACCACTTTCTCCTTCTTGATCATTCTCCATTCCAAAGGATGTTGGAATTCAGTACAAAGACCCTTTTATCCCTGAGTTATTTCAGAATAAATTGTTGGTACAATGTTTCATCATTTCTTCATCTCTTAAGTGTTTCTGAGAGAGGGGGAGTTCTACATAACCATATTATAGTCATCAAAATGAAGAATTTACACTGTGACATTATTTCCATCCTATTTCAGATACTACTCAAGTTTCAACAATTATCTTAATGAAGCATTTATAGCTAAATGTCAGTTGCTGAAAATATTGCATTGCTTTATTTGTCTAAGTCAAACAGAATGATGGTTCAGCTTCTACATATCACAATTGTCAGGTAAACAGTGCAATCAATTGTGAGTCCCCTACATCCCCCTTGGGGTCATATACGAATCCTATGGGTTCAAGGCCATCTCCAAAGTGCTTCCTTGGTGACTGGTCTCTATTTGTCTCCTGACCAAGCCCACAGGGCCTAGTCTAAGACAGAGAGTCCAGCTGGTGCCTGTCCCTTTTTAGTTGTCACCCTGTCCCATGGACCTTCTCCACAGCCTCCATGTGTGGGCCCCTAGGTAACACAACATTTAAGATTTAGCCACCCCTTGGGCTCTGTGTGGAGTAAGAGTGCAAGTCTACTGGTGATGCCCGCTTTTCAGGCTATTCTTTATCATTCTTTATTCATCTCTTCCCCCAAAGCAGCCACCATCTTCCTCTCCAACCCCTGGAGCCTTCTTCTTTTTTGATGGCTCAGTTCCCTGTCTCCACAGGTTCCCAGGAGACCAAGGTTTCAGGTTCAAATCCCTAACAAGGCCATGCAGCCAGAAAAGCAGAGTGAGATACAATAGAGCAGGATGGGCACCGGGGCAAACTGGAGGGTCCCTTGCCCCTTCTAGTGGTAGTAACAGTTTCTTAAACCCCTACCCCTGTTGCTGCTTTGGTCCACTGGGTCCACATGTTCTGCTCAGTGAAGAGAACCTATAAATCAGACAGCAGCATAAAACTCCCCATTTCAAACAATATGCTGTGGGGAAAACAGTTCAGAGGCTGACTTCTGCCAAAGGTTGAATAATTCTAGCTTTTCTAAACCTAATAAAAAAGTAAATAAATAAGGCCTTTTGCTTCTCTGGAGATAGGAAGAACAGACCTAGCCACCATCTTAAAAGGGGAAAAAAAGGCTTGCATTCTCTCAACCTAAAGCCAAGGTAATAAAAACCATTTAATTTCACAATTAACGTTATTTTGCCAAATTGCTCTTAATTATCATTATTGTATAGCCCATGATATAAAAGCAGTGCATACCTGCCACATGGCTCTCAGCGAATGCCTTACTGTTAGTATTAACGTCCTCATCAGCTGTATTCTATTTTGGAGCAGAACCCCAGCGGGATACCAGAACTAACTAACTCTCTCTCTCTCTCTCTCTCTCTCTCTCTCTCTCTCTCTCTCTCTCTCTCTCTCTCCCCCTCTCTCCCTTTCTCTGTATATGTGTGTGTCTCCGGGAAATATGACAAACACATTTGCAGAGCTCCAGCCCACAGCCGGGCGGAGGCCTCAGTTGACAGAAGCGTTTCCGCCACCTGCCCTTGGTCCACAAAGGTGGCTGCTGAAAGCCGCGCCCGTGGGGAAGTGACTCTAACAGTCCTCTGGCCCCCTGAACACAAATCTGCGGGGGACAATCACTGCCTGTCCTGCGGTTGTCTGAGGACGCTGCCCCCGGCGGGAGTAGGAAGAGAGCTAAGGCGCTCAGGCGGCGGGCGGCGCGGGCCGGGGCGCGGGGATGCGGGCTGGTGTCCCCAGGGGCGCGCGCAGCCTCGCCTCCCGGTCCGAGCAGAGGCAGCATGAGCCACTCTTTTGTTTCTGGAAAAGATCTATCTGTACTAGCCGGAGGCGGAGTCCACCCAGCCAGCACTCTGCAGGACTCCTCTGCTGATTGGCGGCGCCCACCCGTGGCCCCAGGACGCGGGCAGAAGCTACGCGGGCTGTCAGCGGCTGTGACGGGTGACACCGGAGGATGTTGTCCCGCAAGCGCGCGCCTCTGCCCCCTCGTGGCCAGTGTGAGCATCGCAGGCGCCTTCGCCTCCGCCCACCTGGAGCCCTGAGTGTCACTGCGCAGGGCTTTCTTCAAAGGGAGCATTTTACAGCTCCATTCGACCCCGGGGTTAGGAGATGTTGTTCCCAGGCTTATTTCTAATGAATGAGAAAATCTCTCTCTCTCTCTCTCTCTCTCTCTCTCTCTCTCTCTCTCTCTCTCTCTCTCTCTCTCTCTCTCTCTCTCTCTCTCTTTCTCTCTCTGTGTGTGTGTGTGTTTAGACGGAGTGGGGGAGGTAGAAAAAGGTGGGTAGAACAACTGCAAAAGCATGTTGTTTGTGGTGACAGGATAATAGAGAGGAAAGAAAGGAATAGGAAAAATGAAAAAGATTAAAAAGCAAGAGAAGAAAAATGACAGTGATGATGCGCTAGACTGACAGCAGAGGATGCGGGAAGAATGCAGGGAGCAACAGTTTGATGGGAAATGGGAGGGGACTTAGGCATGCAAGAGAGGGGAGGATTTGACATCCACAAGAGCTGAAGTTTCATTTTGGTGAAGTGAACCTTGTGAATATTTCAATATACCTCTCTCCTATTTTACATTCCATTTTGTTTGGCAGCTGCTAGAAATGAGTTTCCATTTTTCTGTCTTATTTTAATATTCTCTTGTCTCCCACATCACTATGATCATTAGCGGCAGAGACAATTCTGCCGTACATTCGGCGTCTGACAGAACCCTCCTTGCACGCGGGCTTATTAACTCGCGCCTCACCCAGCCGCCATCAGCTACATCTGCTTTGTTACACTGATTCCTGTTTCCTGAGCGTGCTCTCTCCGCACTGACCTCTGTGGGCCTCTCTTGTCCTTTGGGAAATAGACCAGTAGCTGCTCAGAATCCAAATGTGTGACAAACACCCTGTAAAGGTTTCTGCCATCTACCCATCAAAAAATAAGCAAAACAAAGCCCAACAGCAACTCGTAGCCACAAAAATTGGTTCTTTTGAATCAAGTCTGTAACTCTGGAAGGACAAAAGAGGTTTTTCAGATTCTGCCTTAGCTTTCGCTACCTACAAGCTGTGAAAAGGTTGAAAGGAATTTTCTCTACTCCAGGCTTAGTTACTATTTTGCCAACATTACCCAGTCTTCTTCCAGATTTGGGGAAGCGGGTCGCATTTAGAAATCCTGGGCAAGATGATAAAAACTGTTTTGGCAGGAGATAAATCATTGCATATGGGCGTGGGCAGTACTGCCCAAACTCATTTACCACAACAAATGGTTTCATGAAAATGTTGTGGCCAATACAGCATATTTTGCCACATTGAGCAGTGTTTGCCTATCTGTATGATGGCATGGGGTTGGGGGCGTCTCCTGGGTCAGCATTATTTACTTTACCCAGAGGGAACTCTCCCGGGAGTGGCCATACTTGAAATCTGATCCTCATTCTGCAACATGCCAAGGATACTTCAAAATAGAAATTCAGTTTGGAATTAAACCAGTTTTTCATTTTGGTCAATGGATTGCAATGAAGATAAGCAAGAGAAAGAAAAAAATGCTCTGAGATTTCAAAGTATAAAACCTTTCTGTAACACGCTTATTATCATATGAGGGGAGTTGAATTATTTCCCTTCCATAAGTTCTTGTGATGTTCAGAGGCTATAATACACATGGACATGACTTGTGTACCCAGAAGATGCTCCAGGAGTGAAAACAAAACAATGCTGTAGGGCAAAAGGATGCTTGCCACAGGTGTTCACCATTTAACTACAGAGCTCCTGGTTGTTAAATACTTGTTTACAGGGTCAGGCTACAGCTCAGTGATGGGTGTTTGCCTTCTTATTTGTAAAACCCTGGCTTTGATTTCCATTACTGCCCCTAAAATAAAAATAATTGTTTACTTATCCCCTTAACATTTATGTGAATGTTTACATTTTACCTTCTCAATTTCCTTTTTATTTCTTTATAATATGTCTTTCTCCTTGATATTATTGGTACATTTTCTGGGAGTCTTCAATCAGGAATTGGGCTTCATTGGGGCTGCTGTCAAGCATCACCTAGAGTAGCGGTCAGAGAGTGCTGCTCAGTGACAGCTCATTTGCTGTGCTGCAAAGAGAGCTCCCCACAGAAATTTCATAGATCCTGTGAGTCCTGTGTCCTTACAGGGTGGAGGTGGGACCCTTCCCAACTATATTTTCTAGTAATAGTAGAAATGAATGATATGTTTTTACGTATGTGTGTATATTTATATGTGAATACAAATGAGTAAAATCTCACAGTACATACATTCCCCATTCACACACATATCTTCCTAATATTTCTTACCCTACAGGACCCAGAGATTTGCCTTCAAATATAGACAAGCTCTCTATAATTGCTGTCATCCTATGGTTGCAAAGAACATTCAGAAATACCTACATGGACCTGTGAATTGCTCTTTGTATTAGTTTTTCAGGGCTTCCATAACAAACAGTCTGGGTGACCTAAAATACAGAAATGTATTTCTCACAGATCTGGTGGCTGAAAGTCAGAAACCAAGATGCTGGCAAGTTCAGCTTCTCCCAAGGCCTCTCTCCTCAGCTTGCACATGGCTGTCTTCAGGCTGTGTCCCCACATGGGCTCATGTCCCAGGTGTCTCTTCCTCTTCTTATAAGGGTATTAGTCATATTGGATGAGGATTTACCTTAATAACTCACTTAATCGTAGTTCCTTCTTTAAAGGCCATATTTCCAAATATAGTCACTTACATTCTAAGGTTCATGGGATAGGGTTTTGTCATATAAAGTAAAGAGGAGCCAGTTCAGTCTAGAACACTCTCTAGTATATTCATATTCATATAAGCTACCAGAAGCTCTCTTTCCAGGTTCCACAGAAATAGAGACATCTTCAGAGGAAGCAATACTCACATTAGATGCAGAAGGTCCAGAGAGCCTGAGATTTCATTACTCAGCTGGAGTGTGACCTCAAGCAAGATTATTAATTCTCTAAGACTTATTTTCCTTTTCATGTGAAGCATGGTCTAACTGTTGGTACTCCCCCAATCATCGTCAAGGCATGTAATTTTTAACGTTTGAGTACTTAAGTAATTAGTGAAAGAAATTCTTTAAAATTAGATGTGCTGCTAAAGACTAAAGGTTTTCGGAAAGGTGACGAGCATAGTGCCTATGTACGGTGCCTCAAACCAGGAAAGTCAATGTAACATCTTTTAACTGCATCCCATGGACCGCAGCCCGGTATTGTTAACACTAACCATACTGAGAGATTAACCCTCCTTTGTTCTCATCTCGCCTTTCTTCTCAATATGCATTTAATATGTAAGACAGAATTGTAAATTAGGATCTTTGGTAGTCCAATTGGTTCGTAAGCAAATATCTTATTTTCCTGATTGTGCCATTATTCTACCTACCTCAAATTGGGATTAGAGAGGAGGAAAGGCCAGGATGTTACTATTACAAATAAGTCTCCTTAGAGAGCAACTGATTTAGGCTTCTCAATGGAAAATGGAATGTGTCACCCAAAGGATTAACATGTACACAGCAAGAGCTCTGTCTTTCTAGCTTGTGTCACTAGTTATGCTCTCGGGAAGACTGTGCAGGTCTTAGAACATGGGTGCTTGGTGAAAAGGAGGGTTAGGTGGAGAAACCTTTGTGTTTCAGAAAATCCCTGTGTGTTTAGTAGGAACAACTCATGCTTTCACTTGATCCATGTGTTTCTTGACTGGGCTACATGAAGCCCCAGGCCTGGCTGGTGAGTTCAGGACAGTGGGGCTGGCCAGGGCTGGGAAAGAGCTAAGTGGGGAAGGTTGACTACCTGGAATCATGCTTGTAAGGTTGGCACAGTCCAACCATCTCTCACTGAGGACATGTTTTTTATCCAAAAGGAGTTCTGTTTTGTCTTGATGAGTCCCCTGGATTGCGGGACTTTGTGTGTGTGTGTGTGTGTGTGTGTGTGTTTGTTTTGCTTTCATTTGAGAATTTGCTCAAATATTAACACTGTATCTCTGGGTAAATCAATGCTTCTTCAAGGCTCTACAATGTCATGATTACTGGTGTTCAGCCCAGGCAGGGGTTTCTATGTTAAGATAAGAGGAAAAACTCAGTACTTTAGGTTGGGTTAATTGTGTAAAAGACAGAATATAAAAAAAGGACAGAGACATTTCATAGTCTGAGGATATGGAGTCTGTGTTAATATAACAGAGGTCTCTGGATAGAGCCTGATGTCACAATAGCTGACACTGCTGCAGAGCTTTGTCCACCGACATTTAACTGGCAGCTTCTGCTGACTCAAACTGGAGATGTTTTGGGCTATAAATGCAGCATTTCTCTTAACCTGACCTGCATTTTCTCCTATTTTGAATTTCTAATCACTTTGACTCTGGTGTTGATTCCTACTAGTAGGAATATCTTTTTGCATGGATAGAGCCTAAGCTAGAGATTTTGGGGAAACTAGGAAACTTTACTAAAAGTTTGATGGGTTTCTTATTTGATCTGGGGTGCCAGACGTGGATAAGGTGGACCAGCTAGAGTGACCCAAAGTAAACGTAACATGTCCAGTCAAAAATTTACACTACCTCTTAGGATAAAAATGAATGTTCTATTTTGAGGCAAGCAGCAAAACCACTGAGCTAAATCCCCAGCCTGAATGTTCTATTTTGAAAGCTCATTACTAGTCAATAATGCCTTCTCTTTGAGATCAGTTGCATCTATAAAAGGTGATTCAAGCAGGGCATGATGGTGCATGCCTGTAATCCCAGCACTTGGGAGACTGAGGCAGGAAAATCACCACAAGTTTAAGGCCAGCCTGGGCTACATAGTGAGTTCAAGGCCAGCCTGAAGTATATAGCAAGACACTGTCTCAAAAAACAGAACAATAACAACAAAAAATGATTCAGTAAGATGATTACCCCCGATGTGCGTTCTCAGACACAGTTCCAAGGGTTTACCACGTATCCTCTACAGTTTGAGATGGCTTTGACAGATGAAAGGTTACACAACTTGCTAATCTGGGGAAGAATTTAAGAAGGAAAATGGCAGCAACAACCATTAAGATTCCAGTCTTGGAATTATAGGCAGCCAAATTTCCATTTTTGTACAACTTTTTTTTTCTTTTGCACAGGAGGGAAGCATCTACTTTTGTTTCATGGATTTAGCTTCAGAAATCTGCTATATCTATGATGAGATTATGGTAATCGTTAGAAAAACAATTCCACATATGGGAAATTTGTTGGAAGAATTGGACACAACTTAATCTATTTTGACAAATGTTTGCTAAGCCTGTGTTATAAGTACAGTATCTTGTTAGGTCTGAGAGGATCACAAGGGTGAAAAACACAAGACCCATTACTGAAGATATTAGAGACAGACTCACTTTGAAGCCCTCTGATGCTGTTTCAAACATGCTTCATAAAAGGTGGATATAAGCAGAGTGGAAATGTGGTAGTAAAAGAATGACTTCCAAAGCCTCAAGGAGTATTGACTTTTTATTCTTGAAGCTTCTGTGGCTTAAAGAAAAAAGAGTTTCAGGCTATCTGGGAAAACTTACAGGCTTCAAATATTTTTTGTAAGGTTGGTAATGGAACATGTATAATAAAGCCATTAGCTGGTCTTTGTCCCCAGATCCCAGGAGTAATTCCTTGAGATTTTCCAGGTAAGAGTCGTTTCTTTGTTGTTCACATTGAACCCTTTGAGTCACATGTAATTATGAGGTCTTGGTGGACCTCTAGTAGTTTATGCAAAAGAAATGACTCAGCATGGTGGGAGGACAGGCCAAGCTAATGGTGAGAGGAGTTGAGTTTTGAGGCCAGTGACCTGTGAGCAGGGGAGAGGAGTTGGAGAGTGTGCTCAGCCTGTGGTTAATGATTCAATCATTCCTACGTAAAGAAATTTGAGAAAATTCTGAAATTAACATTCTTTAGTTGACAATACTGCTTCACCACACATCAATGCGCTATGCTAGGAGGGTGAAGTGTCCTAGTGCCACAAGGGAGGAAAATGGAAATTTCACATATGGATCTCTTCCAAACCTTGCCCCCTATCTCTCCCTATAACAAAACCAGAATCCTAAGTATAATGTTTTCCTGAGTGTTGTAAGTCCCTCCAGCAAACTATTAGACCTGGAAGGGGCTGAAGAACTCTTTGATTTGTAGTCAGCTAATAGGAAATGAGGGTTATCTGAAAATCCCAAACTCTGAAATGAGCTCCATCTTGTTTGAGGACTATGTCTTTAACTTTGAATTTGGTAAACACAGTGCAGAAGGACATTTTCAGATTTTTTATGAAATACAAATGGGGAAATTAAGTCTTTCAGCTGTCTCCTTGAATCAGAAAGCACAAGGGTTTTTCTTCTGTCTCAAATCCTTTTCTTTTCTTTTTTTTCTGGTACCAGGACTTGAACCTAGGGCCTTCAGACTAAGCTACATTCTCAGCCCGTCTTTATTTTTTATTTTGAGTCAAATTCTCACTAAGTCACTGAGTTGCCCAGGGTGGGCTTAAAATTTTGATCCTTTTGCCTCAGGCTCCCAGAGTGAGGCAGCAAGGTGTGTATAACCACAGATGCAGGCATGAGTGCTAACTCCCTCTTTTCACCCCTAAGCACCTCAATCTGGAGTCAGACTCTCTGTCACTTCTAACGTTTCATTAGCCAACATTGATCCTTTCAATTATGAGTTGCCTTGTCCCTTATTTTGTCTTGAGACCACTTGCCTGTTTTGGACAATGGTACAGGTATTCTACAGATTCTGGAAATATTTTGTGAAGATAGCAGTGCTCAGCAAAAATAGAAAACAAACTACAATTTTGTAAGTAGAAATAGTAGGTGGCTTGGGAGGTAACTTAGTTCCTTCTGCTACTGTCACATAGGACCTCATTAAAGATTCCTTGAAGATTAGACTTTAAAAGAATGGCACGTCCCCTCATCTTTCTTTGCATTGTATGTATCCCTACATCTAACTGAAGTTCTCCCTCAGACTTCTTAATGCTTTATCTGCAGCTTTCCAGTGACAACTTTTCTTATGATCCCTTAAGAAAGAAAAATGACTAAAAGAATTTAGGGAATTTCTTTGCTTAAGTGAAGACAATTATTATACATAGCTTACTCTTGCAGATGAAACCTTAATAAAAATCTTTCAAGTGATTGTTCAGTATCTTTGTCTACCTCTTCTTCACAGGATATTTGTTACCATTCCTTTCATCTTTAACTTACTCATGAAAACCTTTAAGAAGCGGGGCTGAGAACCACAAGATCATTGACTCAGGCCAATGAGGACACATCTCCTTTTCACATTTATTTCATTTTGTTTTAAGATCACAGAAGAGCAGAGCATTCATACGTGTAAAATAACAGAAGAGAGAAACAGAATTTAAATACATTTAAAGGGAAAAGAAAATAAGCTTTTCTTAATTTTATTTTTCTTTGTACACACACTGCGCTTTTTATTTTCCTTCACAGAGCTAGGACCCAGGGGGCAAAAAAATCCACCCAATAAAGAAAAACAAAATACGTTGTGCAACAGAAAAACCAACCCAAATAATGGCCATGAATTTATATCATCAAGGGAAGATCAGTTCATGTCTACAGGGCTAAAAAAAGGAGTGTATTTATATATATATTTATACGTATATAACACTGTTAATACGGAGAATTCTAACCAGGAGCAGGATTTGTACACCTTCTGTTGAGCAGTGAGAAGGTGGGCAAAGCGGTGGTGGGTAAGAGGTAGGAGCTGTTCTCCCCTGCTTCCCTCCCCAGTCACGTCCTCCCTCGAGCCTCCCCCTCCCGGTAAATACTTAGAGAGCAGAACCTGCCCACGATTCACCAGGACAAGTCTTTTACATTTCCTGGTGAAGAGCAAAGACTTAGCAAAGTGGGTTTAGAAAAGGCTCCTTGGTAGCTTAGGATTGCTGCTGCGTGCCATGAAGCTAGTAGTTCCTTGTGTTTTCTTCATTTGCGAAGAAGCAGGTATTTACTGTGACTGGTTTTACAGAGAGAAGGCTTTTGCAGAGAAGTAGCTGTAGGAGTAGATTCGGGAGCACCGCCTAAAACAAGTACCTCTGAAACAACATGGAAGTGTGAGTTTTTCAGTAGACAGGTCCTCACTCACTCAAAAAGGGCTTCATAAGTACTCTGAGCCCTTTGTTTACCCTTATTACACAGAGTAATGCTAAAGCTGGGAAATTATAAATACTCTGCTCTTCAGTGTCTGGGACTCTCACATTCCTTCTGTCCTTTGAGGCAATAAAGGAAATTGGACAAACGCTAAGATGAGCCTCTAAGAGAGTGGACTTGTCCTCAGTCCATCCAGAGCAAGGCAGAAGAAAATAATTCCTCATTAACTACTTCAGAAATCATCTTTCTTGCTTAAAACTCTTCTCAGAGAACTTAACTTTCACATTTCATTTTGGCTTTCACAATAATTCTTAGTGTGCAACTGTCATCACCTAAAATGTATATTTGTCATATTTTCCACTTATTCAAATATTATAGAGTTAGACTCTTGAAAAAAATTGAAGCCTGTTTTATTGTACATTTATTTGCTTGATTTCATACCCTATAAGTCAAGGAAATATATCTCTCTCAAACAAAATATATTGTCTTGCCTGTTTCTCACAGATTACCCATTTGAACTTGCCTGGGACCACATGATATAGCCATTAGCTCAAGCCAAGGACACACATTTACTAGAATGAGGCAGTCAGCCCTGGATGAGAAAAAACTGTTTCCTTTCATATGCACAACTTCCTCATTTTTTACAAGCTTAATGCCCAATCTGGCTATTTTCCTTCCTATGAAAGGTTATTCGGAGTTAGTTCAAGAGTTAGATTTTATAATATTATGAACAAAAAATAACCCCAGCTATTTCAATAACCTCAGTATAATCTCAGGGTGCCCCTTTTTCTGCATTGCTAGTAAGTTTTTGTAGAAGAGAATTATAGAATCAGTCCAAAGGCCCTGTATTCTAGGAAGTTTCAGCTTTTGAAATAGAGATGATAGAATGATGATTCTGAAAACAAACTAGAGATGACAAAGAGCTGCTTTCGATAATGAGGCAGGCACAGTACTAAGTGAACATTCACTTCTTATTTAGAATCAGAGAGTTAAGACGTGAAAGAGGTTAAAAAAATGTCATCCAAATTCCTCACTTTCAGGATGAGGAAACCAAGAATCAGGAAGTTTAAGTGGTTTGCCAATGTCATATAGATGTTGTGTCCAGGGGAAGGATTACAATCAAGTTTTCATGACTTCCAGTCAAATACAACTTCCACTTCACTTTAAAGTGTCTTTATCTTAGATGAAGGAGCACAATTTTAAGTCTCATGTTAATGTGACCTGAATTTCTTTCTAGAACAGTCTTTGTAAAACATCCATCCTTGAAAGTCATGTCTTTGATGACTCTGTACCAGTTGTTCAGATAATAGGGAAATAAATACATCTTCCTTGCTGAAAGAAAAGAGATACAGAGATACAGAGATATAGATTGCTGGAATGAAAACAAATTCTTTCTTGAGTTTCAGTTGGTGACATTTGATATATGTGTTAAACACAACAGGCACTTCAAAAAGACTCTAAGACATCATGCTCAAGGTTCTTCCAATTGAAATGATTCTGTCCTTGATTTGTAAAATTCGGTATAAACACAAATCAAGTAAAAACTACTTTCTTTGCTTTTACTTTAAATTGTTTTCTAAGGTAACACAGCAAGATAATTCTCAAGGATATAACATATTTCTTATATCCCACAATTTATTAGAATGAAGATGACAAGCTTTCCCAATGCTTTTGTTGAGTGGAAAACAAAAGCCGAGTAATGTTTTCCTCATCAGGGTGTAGGTAACTTCCTTCCAGCTATTTAAATGAGATGTCTTAGATGGTGAGGAAGAAATAACAAGACACCTGGTAGCTGATACAACAGGTACAGAGCCTTCAAACTATTCCTCTCTATCTCTTTATTCCCCTTGTTTTGGGACAGGCAAAATTTGGGAGAATTTCCACTCAAGTCCTGAAGGATCAAAGTGCACTTGTGACTTGAGCAGGTTGTGAAACTGAAAGTATAGCTGAGGGACTGCTTCCTTTGGCTGAGGCAACCTTACACAGCCTTTAGTCCTACTTCTTTCCATTTTGACCTGTGCAATACTTTGGTTCTTTATTTTTATTTGAATTTTTTTCTTTAAGATTTACAGGTTTAGCTGAACTTGGGCCCTGCATGAAAAATGAAGTTTACATAGTTTTTATTATGTACATAAACTAGGCATTTACATTGATTTACACATGATTGGTGTCTAATTTATTAATCAGCACAGAATATGTAAATGTGCTGAAAAGAAATCAAGATTTTTAAATAAGTTTTCCACAATATCCATAAACATTCCACGGCTGTAAATGTTAAACCTAAACCTAATGTTAACACTAGCTTCCTTGCCAAGTGATGTACATTGCTGAGTGAAAACAAATTCTTTCTCGACTTTCATTTGGGGACATTTAAACAACATACCTAAATGCAAATGATAATAGTTTACTTCTCTTCCCACTGGTATGCACGTAAATGTAAACTCCATTTTGCATTTAGTGAGGTGTTTACAGATACTGTGTCAACCATGATGGAAAATTTACATCACTGGGACAAATACAGTTTCTGGAGGAGAAATATTTTAAGTACTTAAGAAAGGAGACTTCCTAAACTGGATTTGTGTTTCTTTCTGAACTCAAGGACTTATCTCACTATTTTTGTAGTATGTTCATTTGTCTTTAAAGTTTTTATAATTTTTTTTTACATCTGATATAGCATTGCACTTACACTGCTATAAAAACTAATAGTTATTGGGAAGCAAAACTAAATCCAGGCTAAATGTTTATGATGATGAAGAAAAAAATTAGGACATGGTTATTCTCAAAGTACGTGTCCATAAACAAACTTCTTTTAAGCAAATAGTTACAAAGTGGGCAAAATGGGGCTTCACATATTTCTAAAAGAAATATAGCTCTTTTTTTTTTAAATAAACCAAATTCATTACTCTTCTTCCATTTAAGTTTAAAATGTTATACTAAATTTTTCTTATAATACATATATTATTGTAAATACAGCATCTGTAAAGATTAAAAAACACACACATAAGAACCAAGATGGATTATGTAAAGGTGCAAATTTCCAATGATGAATGTCATTATAGTGTATACCTTAAATGTACCAATATAATTAATTTAAAAACCACACATATATTATTGTTTCTGGAAATAATTCAAAGCCTGCAAAAAACAAAATGAGAAATTCAAGGAGACTAGCCTTAGAAACAGTCAAACCATGACCAACTCAGGGATGAAGGTGACTCTAGAGTAAGAGCTCTGTAGATAATAACTGAAACAATTTCATGCCAAGAAGTGCTAGTTTCATGTGCAAAGGAGGTAAGTTGATTTTCAGAGGTGAAACAAATTTTTGTTTCTGTCCTCCAAGAAGATGAAAATCACGAGTACTTTTAGAAGGTCTCTATTATAACCCCACTTGTCTGATTACATAGTAAAAACCAAGCCCATGGCCAGGGAGAAGTCTGTCTGACCTGAAAGAGAAGCAAAGGCCTGTAAGAATCCTTCCCAACAGAAAATATAGCTACTCTCCCATAAGCTGTAATTCTTTTAGAATAGAGGGATTTTATGTCTTAAAATGAGAAAAGCTGTTCCTCCAATAAGGCAAAGACCTTTCAATGCATATTGCACAAAGAGTATAATTAAAACCCTATAGTTGTAAAACCTATGAGAGTTTTCATTCTTCTGGAAGTGCCCCAGGTCAAGGCCACTTCCTCTTTTCTTGACTGAAAGTTAGGGCTAAAGATTTTGTTTTAGGAATGGGAGTTTCATTTTGTATACATTGGGTATAAGATGTATTAGCCATTCAGATTATTTGATACATTGCACTTCTCTCAGTACATTATTTCCACAAAGTTGGTGATTTTTAGTGCTGTGATTGCAATATACAAGATTCCTGAAGAGATTTATAATAATATAATGAATTCGATTTTAAAAGTCTCATATTGAGACTTGATAGTTTCTTGGTGTTAGTACTTTAAGTCAACATTTATTCTCAACTTTTCTCCAAATCACAATGACTTCCATTCCCCACAAAGCATAGAAACATTTCCTACCCTATGAGATTTCTAGAGCAAATATGGTCTCTGAAACAAGAGCAAGAAGCACATTTTTAAAAATCACAAATCTTGCAAGATATAGGCAAACACCAGATTTTTAAATATTTGTTTAATTATGTTTAATATATGGTCCATTATATTAAAATCAAGATAACAAATGATACTGACATGGCCAAGACATTCCTTTCAATGGAGACACTTCTCCCATAAAACCAAGACCTTTTCTTTATGATAGGGTGGAGAGGATAAGAAGGCCAGGTGTGTGAATGAAGCCTGTGACATGCCACAGGCATCTGTTCCTGAAAGTGACACTAATGGATATCAGAATTAACTCCTGCTCCTTTTCTCTCCCTGCATCTTTAAATTATTATGAACTCTCTCAAAAAGTTTCCACTTAAAGGTGTGACTGACTCTTCAACATATGGGGAATGTATGTCATTAAAAGTAATAATCACTTTTTTCTATATTAAGAAGACCAAACTGTTAGAGAAATGCCTGATTGTCAATAAGTTATGATGCATAGGAATATGGCTCGCCTTCTATTTTCCTAGCTACCTTCTCGGATAAAAATTTCTGTCCTGTCCCAGAATCTGCCTTGAATACTCTTATTCATCCCAAAGTCCAAATTTTCCTCTCTTTCCTGACTAAACTGCAGAATTACAAAAGAAACATGATAAATTTATAAAAGAAACAAAGAATCCCCTAGAAGAGATTTAAAATACTGCTTGTATTTTTTTTCTTCCTTTCCTCTCTTCCTTCCTTCCTTCCTTCCATCCTTTTTTCTTCCCTTTCTTCATTTCTTTTCTTCCTTTCTTCCAATTATGAATTTCTCATTTTATATCATGTGATAGCTATTTTCAAGGTTCAAACACTTGATGAGCTACCATATTTGGCTCCGTGGGATTGTATTCATTTATGGCCTCAACTGTGCTCCCTTGTCCATTCATAAGCTGAACCACTTCCAATGCCTCCTATAGTCTAATTATAAGCAATGGTCAGTTTTTTGACAAAGATATCTACATGCAGAGCCAGCTCTCTCTGCAAAATCTTTCCTAAGAAAGCTTTTTAGGTTATGTGGTGATACTAACATTTGTGGTTCTCATATAACTTCTGCCTAAATTAATTACAAGTGACCCGGATCTCTTGGTTAAGGAGTTAGCTTACATTTCTGTGTTAATGTCAAGATGACGTGTACAGATGCAAATTTAAAAAGAGCAAAGGATGTGGCTATAATGCAATTCTGAGTGGCCTGGCCTAGGATACTGATGGAGCCTGTGAACAGTGGTGGTGCAGACATCATCAGTGGAACAGACGGGTCATGTACGCAGTCAAATGTGGTACTAGCTAGACCACCACGGCAAAAATCTGCAAAGGGGCATCAGAAGGGCATTCTTTTTCCTTATGCTCAGTGCTTCATATTAGAGCTCTAACAGTAGCTGCAGAATGTGGGGAAGGACTTGGGCATTTGTCTACTTTTCCTGTCTTGCTCACACTTACTGTATTTTGTCGGAAAGGGGAAACAATCTCTGCTCAGGGAAATCTATGGGGCAAGTGCAGTGTTATTTGAAGATAAAGGAGAAGGCAAAACAGGGCTTCTTAGTATCTCCATGTGCCTCATCATTCTTCTCATGGAGCTAACACTTGAACACTCCTGTTTCTGGGTTCTTGCTCAGTCTATGCTATTTACTTTTGCAGTGAAGCAAGGCCCAAGCCTGTAAAAAGTCAGGAAATGTATGACTCCCTCAGACTCATGAAATAAGTGAAATCTGAAACCTTCTCTCCTAGGTAATTTTAGCATGTCAGTGATCTGTTCCACTGTTCACTCATCCCATCAATAGTAGGCACTTTCATTGACAGTGATATTCTGAGTGACTCCTTACTGGGTTCTGAAGATGGGACTAGGAGGAATATGGGGTCCTGCCCTTGAAAGAGGGGACAGCCTGGTTTGAGTACACACTGATGTCATGTGACAGCCATGAATGGAGGAGGGACTCTGCTCCTTACCTCCCTCCCAGCCATCTTCCCCCAGCAACTCGTTACAGCCGCGTTTCACAATTACAATGCAGGACAGTATCTACAGCACAATGAGTCTATGTACACATGGACCATTCCCTTGGCATGCTTTAGAGAGAGACACACAGACTCACACGCATGTACACTCCTGTGAGAGCGAGAGACTTGAGCACACACGCACAGTGAAAAAAATTAAAATGGCACTTCCTAGCATCTGCGGCCTGACAAATGCTCTGGAGGGTGGTGGGGTGAAGAGAGGTGGGATGGCTGGATGAAAGGAAATCTTCAGTGTGGGTGTGGGAAGATAGAACACACTGGAAGTAGAGGGGGGATCTCAAAGTTGGAGAGAGTGGAGGCAGGGTAGTCTGATAAAGGCTCAACACAAGATTCCACTGATGGTCTGAAATGGCTACAAGTCAGCTCAAATGAGAAAGAATAAAGAGATTATGGAAATATAAACACTAAAGGCAAGACCTTATATTTTTCCCCACAGATGAAAACGGATGAAGGAGGAAGGATAAATTGTGTGTGTGTGGGGGGGGGAGTTAATTCCATGTAGTTCTTTTTTGTCTTATTTGTTCAATTTCCAGATGTCCTTGGCATGATGCAGTCTTTATACAGCATTCATTTGCTTAGTAGGTATACACATATCATGGTAGAACATTTCATTTCCCACCCTGAATTGTGCTCAATTTTTTACTGATGGACTTTAAAATTGTTTAAAATGTTGGATTTTCTTCATTTTTTATTTCCCCCTTCATTTATAAACACACAAAGTTGTGAAATAAACAGTCTCCCCCCATCTTGCGCGCGCTCTCTCTCTCTCTCTCTTTCTCTCTCTCTGTATCCGGTGTGACGCATTTTTGTGTGTTTTTTAAATTACTTTTAAATTTTTATCCTATTAACATTTGCTGAGAAGGCAAAGCAGAGATGCTGCCAGCAGCCACAGTGGTACAGCCAGACTGATGGATCCGTTTATTCCTCTCACTGACCCAGGTCCTGCACAGTAAAAGAGGAGAGAGAGAAAAGAGAATAGTTATATCCTGGTGGCTTTTGTTACAGATGACAGCTGATGGGCCCCAAGGGAAGATGTGACCAGGTGCTGATGTCCAGTGCCTGCTCTCTATGTGCTGCTCAGGAAGGGCTCTAAATGTTTCCTACTCCTTCTCATCCTAGTGTGAGTATCTTAAAGAGCATCACTTCCAAAAACTAAAGACTTCCAAAACCAAGAATGCTCTTGCTGGAGCTGTCCCTAACATGGCCATTCACCACTCCCCGATGTGCTGTGTGCTGTCCACCCAAGTCCTCTTGCCTGCTTTGCCCACGTCTCACTGAGAGGCCAGTGCTGCCCCCTGAGGGGTCTTCAGCAGCTGGATGTAAGTACTTCCTCTCAGTTCATACAGCACCAATAAAATGTCTTGCCAATTCAAGACTCCTTTGTTTCTTAGAGAAGTAGTAACTATTTCCTTGTTAATTGGGAAGGGAATTACTACAGAGTAATTTTATGGATGGGTGGCACCTTATCAAGGTAAAAGGTCAGCCACATATTGCAGAGTCTTAAGGGGAAACAAGGATCATCTTGTTCCAAATCTTCACCTGTCACTTTAAAAATCAAAAACAAAATCAATGACAACAATAAAAACAAACTAACCAGCCCAGAAATGTTAAGAGGAAGGTCTTATCAGCAGCAGCTCTGAGATTTGAATGCACTCAGACCTAAACCAGGCATGACAGTCTGTGTCACTTACTGTCACTCTAGGACTGCCAACGCTGGACTCACAGGGAGCAGCAGGTGTGACTCCGATAGAGACAGTGGCATGGAGAGGATTTTGGAAATGGAGTTTGTGTATTGATGGCCAAAGGAGTATTGGGGCAGAAGTTGTAGGTCAGTCAGGACTTTGACTCCTATACTTTGTTTCCTTTTCTCCTTTTGTTCATATTCCATTAAAGTAAAAAAAAAAAAAAAATCACTATAGATGCTTTGGCTTTAAGGCTACAGACTTAAAGACATTCCAAAAAAACCTGGTACAACTGTAATTAAGAGTCTCTTTGAAGCTTTCAGGGCACATATGCAGCCCAATGTGTGTGCGTGTGTGTGTGTGTGTGTGTGTGTGTGTGTAAAACTATGATGGCTTACAATTGCAATGAAGTTGGAAGAAACTTATGGTATGTAAATTTTTCCTAAACTGTTTACAAATATACCAGGTTGGAGACAGGATAACAGGGGGAAATACTTAATTCAAGAATGGCCCCTAATTTGCGTTTTATGTAATTTATAAAAGCAACAATGACAATAAAAGCAACAAACAATTGTCTACTGGGCACTGTTATAAATACAAGCACCTACCTGTGCTGAGATAAATATATAATTAAACTTGTTTTACAGTGAAATAGCAGGCACAGAGAGATCAAATCCATGTACATGTTTCCAATGCTCATAAGCAGAGAAGTTGGGTTTTTAGCCTGGTGTTTGGCTCCCAAGCCTTTGCCTACCAGGACTACGCAGTGAAGCTCAACGAAAGGTGGCTGGTGGCAGAATGAAATTTGGGATGGATTAAGACAGTAACCAGCACAAAAAAACTACAATGAGATAACTTTTACCTTTGCAAAAATGATTTTGAATGAGTATTTTGGGCTAGAATGCCTTTTTGAGATTATTAAGAATATTACTTAATATAAAAATATGAACATGTACAGAGCAGCATAGTTTCTATGTAAAATGAGCTTTATCATGTATAATGGGGACAAACTGAATAATCAACCAGCTAAGACTCTGATTTTATGAATGGCTATGGGTCATGTTAATAAAAGTCACTTTAGCTGCTTTCAGCTTCAAGTAGATTATGGATGCAGGACTGAGGGCCTGATTAGTAACTGCTGACTTGGCATTCATACCATGTTCATCTCTAGGGTCAGTTCAATGTCCTTCCTACTCCACTTTCTCCTCTTCTATCTACAGACTTTTGAACTTTGGGGACCTTCAAGCTCTCTTAATGGAAATGTCCCAAGGTTTCTAGCCAGATTAGTAGAATTCTTTATTTAGTTCCTTATTCATTCTTTGAGTTCCTTCATATACATTAGATGACATCAGCTTCTTGGATGACTGTATTAGTGTATCAATGAGCCTTTCAAAACAGAGAAAGACTACATTATCAAGGTCCTACACAGTTAAGCAAAAATTATTTCCATTTGATTTACCTCAACAATAATGTTAAGTAAATCCTCAGAAAATGTCTGTTTACTTCCATAATCTCATTTTAGCCATAGAATAGGCTACCTTATCTTTCTGACATCCTGGAGTTGAGTGGTATTTGAGGAAGGCTAAAAAAAAAAGCTGTCTTATCATTTTATTTGCATGGTAGTAAATATTTAAGAAAGAAAATATTTATAATTGAAAAATACAATATGTACGTATATGAACCTGGACAAACATGTTCCCATGTAGCATTCTTGCTAATGCCTATGTGCATCTATATACACAGAGGGAAGGATATAAGCTATAACAAGTTCACATATGATTACACATGTATTACTAGTTTTTTAGAATGCACGATGCAGAATTAGGTATTACTTTCACATGCTATAACAGAGAATACCAATATGAGTATGTTAATAATACTTCATTTTATCCTCAATAGTATTAACATGTATTTAAATCACATGGTGTACATCTCTTACAGATATCTTTGTTTCTATCAACTATTAACTTTATTAAGTGCTTTCATATAGCTATGCAAAATAGTTATGTGACTTGCTTTTGTCATAATTGGTTTTGAGACTAAATAAATAGACTTGAGGAATACCAGGATAAATGGGCAATAGTTGGGGTATCATCACAAGTGTGCATGCAATTACAGATGTACATGACTGCAAAGGAGACTACTTTAGTTAATGGCTATTTCAGAGAAGAATAATCAGCAAAATCATTAATTATGCTTTAGTTTATAGTTATGAAATTTCTGCTTATTTGTGGAAATGCAAATGATAAATCTTATTTTCCATGCCAGGTGGCCAGGCTGAGCAAGTCCTTTCATACACTGACAGATATAATGAAAGAGAGTCTGGAGACATAAATTAACCCTAAGGGTAGACGGGCAAGTAGAACCAAAATTCAAAAACTTGCTATATGCTTTAGATATCATAGACAAAAATTATATCTTTGTATTTAACCACATTTAATGTGTGTTACATATATGCATCAACACCGATATGTGTGGCTTCTCATAAGTATTCAGTAAACTATACCATCATTATTATTGTTATTAACATAAAATTATGGATAACAGAAATGAATTAAATACTGACCTGAATCAAAAGATATTGGTAGGTGAATTGGGTCAAGGCTTTTAATGTTTGACCTTAAGGGGCAAAATTCAGCTGCAGCAAAACTACAAGCCATGAATCAACACATCAAGTCAAACTTCTTAACCTCAGGACAGGGTAAAGGAGACTGTAACAGCCAAATACTGGATTGCACTTGGCCGTGGAAATCCTTACAAAACAGCAATACTTGCAATTAAGGGCAAGACTGAGAAAGCATTGTGAAATTGAGGGATGTGAGAATTTTGGGAGGAAGTCTCTGAACTGCAAATATGAGCCAAATGGTTTGTCTTAAAGCAAAATCTCAAAAATCTCGAAGAAAGACAAAGGTAGTTTTTCAACACCTGGTTTTAAAGACTGTGTGCTTGGAGATACGGTATGTGCTTAAATTACTGGGTGATTCAAATGAGGCCAACAGGTTTCTGTTGTTTCTTCTTTGTCCTTAGGGTTCATTTCTTGGATTTTGTACTGCATTTATTCAAAGTGTTCTTTAATTATGTCCTCTGTAATCCTTGAGCATTCCTTTTAGCCACTAAGGAATCAAATGTAGTCATAATTTTATTCTAGATATAGTTTAACCATACAAGCAGAGAAGAAAGGCTGGAGGAGTTTTAAAATTTGAATTCTTTTTAGAATTGTCAAAGAAAGACTAATGGAGCTACTGAAAATAAAACAAAATAACTTAACACTTTAAACAACAATTGTTAAGCAAAGGAGATGAGCAATCCACAGAATCTCCTCAATATCTCTGTTCAATATTATCTAGATGTGCAGACTAAGAAGGCACATTGGCGTTGTGGGAAGCCATGATAAAAGGTAAAGGTGGTAAGATTGACTCTGGTTCCACCTGCTGTCCACTTCCTGCTAGTACAGCTGCCTTTGGATGAATGAATTGAGGATTGACATTTGTAATCTCCATAGGCCAGGGCAGATTAGAGAAGGGAGTATAATGATGTTTCCATTGAGTATGGGTCTCAGAATTAAATCTAGACTCTTCCAATATGAGTTTTTATGCATTATATTCACCCTCTGTAAAGTGAGATTTGGGTAGGCTCAAGTATTTGTGTAGAAAAGTTGGAATCATTGAGTGCTTTCCATCAAAACAGCCTCCAGTATTTTGGCACACATATTTTAAAATTTTAGGCACTATTTCTGGTTACATGAGAGTTCTTGTCATCCACATCAAAACTGTATCTTGTTACATATAATGCTAGCCAGTTAAGATTCAAATGTAATTAATAATACAGTAATCACAGTGCTAGGAAGAAAAGGGCAGAAGAGGACAATAGTTTATGCTTTCACTACTCAAATGATTCTGCATGTTTCCTGCTGCCTTCTGTGAGGACCTGCTAGAACTGGATACCAACAAAGTGCTGGCCCTTTCTTGAGAGGAAGGAACAAAGTGTCTATAATCTCTGCAGCCCTTGGAAGCTGGTACGGCCTAAATGCCACGAAAATAGGTTTTCACCATTGATAGTGATCTCAGGTATCTCATTTCTCTTGGAGACTCAGAGAAGAAATCCTCAAATGAAACAATTTCCAATCAAGTAGATGACCATGAGGACTTAAGCAGGGTGGTATCTGGCCTCACAGGTGCCTCTTTGGCTCTGCTCCAGGCACAGACATTGTTAGAGATTATCTATTGTACTTATAAAGAGGGGTTCTTAATTCATAATTGTTTCCATTTGAAGGTCGGTTTTATGAAGCTTTGACATGGTTGCACTGTCTTTGTAGAGAAAATAGGTGGCTGATATGTCACAGGGCTGCTGCAAGTACATAGCATAGCTGAAGCACATGAAATTGCACTCCTTAGCAGGATTCAGCAGCAGAAGACCAAGGCTTCACAAAGGTCCGGGAGTATTAACTGCTCCAGTGATTCATTCTAATAGATACTCTTGCTGCTATGTCTAGTCTAGATGTCACTGTCTAGCCAAGTATTTATTTCAATAGGCAACAAGTTACTGTAGAATAAGCTGGATATCTCTTCTGAGAGCCCTGACTTTGGGCAGGGACTGTTTCAAAATTGCAGTTCTGCCAGAATGGAACATGGATACTTGAGATGAAGAAGGTAGGGGTTGGGAAGTAGGGCAAAGAACAACTTGCTCAGACCCAGGGTTTTAAGAGAAAAACTGCGAAAAGCAATATAAAAATCACAAATTGGATCAGGGACTTTTATAAATAAGAGAGTTCACAATTTGGTAAAATAATGTTAAAGGTATTATGGAAATTAACACTACAAATTATTGAACTGAAACAAACTTAAGTATAGAAGTCCAATACATTGCTATGAAATCTTAATTTTAACATATAGAAGGTAAACAGAAATAAAACCATACCTTTTTGTTTGAAGTGCACCGTGGTACCAATTTCTAAAAAAGAAATATTTAGCAAAACAAAAACAAATAAATTTTTTTTATCAACTGAGAGTTAACATGAAAGTAGACTGGTACTCTCCACTGAAAGGAGAATGAGAGAAAAGGCAGGAAATCATTTTAGCAGGAAAAGAGATTGTTAGAGATAGAATGAAAAGCAGATGGAAAGAGACTGATTGGAACACATATGCATTTGGAGGTGGCAACAATGGATTTGCAAGTACACATGCATGTAGAGAAGTATGCGAACTATGAGAATGGAATGAGAAAGCACTCTTAACTGCAATTCAGGGCAACCACCATGGGCTGCATTTGGTTCCCAAAGTCACTCTACCATTTTGCCTTTAATTCACTCCACTTAAGCCAACTGGCCTCATGCTCTTCTTCTAACAAATGAGTCTATTCAGACTCTGAAAACTTTGTACGTGCTGTTTCGTCTGCTTGAAATGTTCTCCCAGGTCTGTATCACTCACCTAGTCACTTCATTCAGATTTGTGCGGACTTGCCACCAACTCAGGAAGGTCTCCCCAATCACTTTTTCAAAAGGAGCATTCTCTGTTGTGTTTTCTATTTCATTACTATGCCTACTAATCTAAGTAGCACTAGTCTCCACCTGGTATCATATTAAACATTTACTTATCTGCTTGTTTATGTTTTGTGCTCCATTAGAATATATGCTCCATGAGGGCAGCAGTGGTGTATTTCTTGTCAAGTATTGAATCCCCAAGGCTTAGATTAGACCCTGTATGTAACAGGTTTCAATGAATGTTGCACAAATAAATAAATGTCAAAGTTAGAAGAGATCATATAGGGTAAATATTTAGATATTCTTTTAAGTATTCTTATAAACCACAATACTTTTGGATCTTTAGAAATAAGTAAAATTTCCATAAAGTGCCTCTTTGAATCTCAAGACCAACTTAGGATATAACAGTCCAAGCTGGCCAGGTGACACAGATTTTCTTCTTTTTGACCATCACGACACAGCCCTGAATTCCTGAATAACATGATTTCACTAAGAATGAATTGACCCTTCAGCCAGAGTGACCCTTGTGAGTTGGATATTTGAGCACCTTATAGTCCTGCTTGAAATCCACTCATGCTTTCTTGTGGCTTCCAAGGTAGAGATCAAAATTCTTAACATTGCTTCTGTGGCTCTTTGCCACCTTTGTTCCTCCAACCTCATCAAAACCTATCCGCTCACCAGCTTTCCTTTGTTCTTTCTGGTATCATGTTTTCTTTGCCACAGGGCATATGGACCGGGGATATCTCATCTAGAAATCTCTCAGCTTCAGAATTTAGTTCCCACTTCTATAAGGAAGTCCTCCTCAATCTCCTCGACATGTTAGGTCTCTTTATTATAAGCTCTGCTTTCCTTCACAGCACTCTCTTCAATATAAATTGAAAATGTGTTTGATGCTTTGATTAGCACCTGTCTTCTCTCAGTGGACTTTTGTTTTTGGGTTTTTTTTTTTTTTTTTTGGTGCCAGGGACCGAACTTGGGACCTTGCACTTTCAAGGCAGATGAAATTTAGCTGAGCTAAATCCCCAGCCCCCTCACTGGACTTTTAATTCCATGGAAACATGGGCTTTGTCTGTGTTTGTTATTGTAGTCCAGCCACTTTAGGTATTCTGAATGGCCCAAAACAGAAAAGAAAAAAAAAAATGAGCAAAAGAAATATATGCCAAGCATTCCCCTAACCTGCAAGGGAAAAAGTAGGGAATGTGAGAAGCTAAATTCTTTATCCTGTGACATAGCACAGGGGTCAAACCTTTGAAATCAAGTCTGCAAAATTTCCAAGGTTCAGGGCAGCCTATTAATCCCCTCCCTCATAAATGTTTTTTATTCGTCCATGCAAAGTAGGCCACAAGGAGAAGCTCTCAAATAGTGTAATATTTTCTTGTGATTATAAAGAAGGGGTTGATTATCCTCATCTCTGGTGTCTGAAAATATTTGGTTATGGTTTAACATTAGTAAAAATAGTCACATCCAGGGTTTCCCTAAGAGCTAGCTGCACCTGCAGTGGCGACAGTTTCCCTAAACTGGTCAGATGTGGAAGAGAAGCCCAGCACAAGTGTCCTGTTGTGTTGTAACTGCTGGAGGAGTTCATGGTTCACTTCTGAGGATGCTCACAGAAATCAACACCTGTCTTTATGTCATTGAAGTACATACTAAATTAACAAAGGTGACACACTGCAAGGTCATACAGAAGAATGGAGTAAGAATTCTCCTTTTGTAGCAGAAGTCAGCGCAACTGAACCTGTGCTTACCCTGGAAGTGAACTGAGGTTCTTTAAATATACAGAACACCAGTCTCTACCTGCTTACAACCTTCTCTGCCTGTCTTGTGATCCAACCACTGACTTGCCATATTGTATATTAATCACATTGCCACTAGTTTTTTTCATAATACTTACATTAACAACTTTTCCTTGCAATTAACATATTGCTTTAAAATTCGTTGGAATGACACTTCCAGGAAAGTGTCCATTGCAATATGAGGAAACTGAGGCCTAGAGGGATTACACAAATAACAAAAGGCAGAAATGGGACTGAAATTTAGGATTCCCAGCTTTAGAGCCAGAATCCGGAACATTATGCCCCTGTCTAGTATTTGTTTTTTCTACATAAGCAAGGCTTTTATAGCTGTAGGGACATCACTGGAATATTTAGATCACACAATACTGGCCAGAAAAGCTCTGCTCTTGGGCAAAGCAAGACTATTGGGTCAAGTATCTTGGTTTATCAACCTTTAAAGTGTATTAGAACACTGCAGGCCACAGAGTGATAGTTTTTGCTAAAGGGACTTAGATTCTTGATGAGGACTACATTCAGGCAAAGAATATTAGAATTTCCTTATTTCATGTCTGGTCCACAGGCTTCACAATAATAATTTCAAGCAATTGTTCAGGCACCAAGGAAGGCTAGAAAGCCAATGAATCTGCTTAAACTAGAAAATACCTCTTAACTTCTTTTAGTTTCATTTTCAGTAAGGTGGGTTTAATTAACCTGCCTCTTATAAATGTATGCTATGGATTAGATGAATTAATCCACATACTGTACCTGACATGTAATAAGCACTTAATTAAATAAGAGTTGTTGTTGGCAGTTTTGTGGTGAAAATCCCTTCTTGAGAGGATTTTCAGTCAAATTTTTGTAAAAGGAAAAAATAGATATGTTAGGAAATAAGCCATGAAGATATAGGTCTAAGTGATGATGATGATGATGATGATGATGTTGATGATGATAATGATATAAATATTTATATATAAATATATTGCAGCAATATGACTAATGGAGCATCAGAACATTAGAAAATTCTAGCACAAAAAAGTGACAGGAAGTAGATTGATTAGGCAGCTTCTCGGTCAGGGTAAAACTGGCAACATTTCTGCAAGAACTAGACACTGGCACGGGATCACGTAAGAGTCTGTGAGTACCAAGTGTGAGTATGTTAGGGGACAGGCACTCCTCTGCTAAACAAAAGGAAGATATTAAGGTATCACAAATTATATTCTGTAAAGAAAATATCAGAAAAAGTCAGATAGAAATATGTATATTTTATTGAAATAAATTAAAAAGGCAAGCCATGTTAGAAGTTAAATTTTAGGCACTCTTTCCTCTTCCTGTAATAAATAGACTTCTTTGTGAAATACTATAGATATTAAAACTTGGAATTCCACGTCTTTAGAAAAAAAGTGTTTATTTAGTGTTTCTTTTGTATTGTGATTTCCTAGCATTTTCTTCTGTAATAATAGAATATTCTCTAGTGAGGCAACCCCCCCCCAAAAAAAACCCAGAAAACATCCCCCAACCCCCACCTCCCCTCCCCTCAAAAAACAACAAAAAACCGCAAATCCTTGCATATTGTTGAGATTTGCTTTCTGGAAATTTGAGTAGCTGCTGCCATCTTGTGGTGATATTACGATATGCTCCTATATGCTGTCTAAAGAAATCACCTTTGTCCATGGGGTGGCAATGGTGAGAGAAAGAAAAATTTTTTTTCAGGGTCACAGCAGGCATGAAATGTTACTATTCAAAAAGGGATATTCCTTTTAATAGGAAAATAAAATTATTTTATCCCTGAACAACTAAAAATTATTCTTTTTCTAGTCCAAAGGTGACCTTATATTTTTGATGAAAACTGCATTCCTTGGAATATTCTTGTAGGGATTCCCTGAGCACACTCATTAGGACATACCTGGAACCTATGATTTTTTTTATGCCTTTCATGAAAAATTTTCCATACATATTGATCTTGCTTTAGCAAATTGACTTAACAAGTAAGCATAATTTTAAAATATAATTAAAGTAATAATTAAGGTATAATTAAAGCAAGTATAATTTCCAAAGGCATACTTGCAGCAAGCTGATGGACAGAACACTGGGGAGGTACTAGTGTAGATGACGTTCCACACCTTCTCTGGAAGAATCCCTGTCAAATGCTTAGATCTTAGCTCCTAATGAGAGGGGGTTTAAGGAGGCACCAGGGGGAAGAATTAACATTAAACACTAAGGAAGGCAGGTGCTTTGACATGTATTTATGCCAACCTTCCTTGATTTTCCAGAATCTGTGTTTGGCCATGTTAGACAAATGTGCACCATCAAAAAACAAATGATTCATCCTCTTTAGTTGGAATATGTATGTCTCTCTTGCTTACTACTATATCCTCAGCTTGCTATTTCCCTGGTAGAGAGTAAGTTTCCAATAGATTCGCTGAACAAATATCTGAGTGTATAAAATGTATGAATGAACGAATGACCCTAGCTAAAGCTTCAGGGAGTGGAGATTGTTTTGTCTTTTTGGAACCACAAAGCCTTAACCCCAAGGCAAGTCTATTGCTGAGAATTCACAGTCATTTTAAGACGCACATGGGGCTACAAGCTCCTACTAGCACCTCTCAAATCCTGGCAGGTAGAAATTTTTCTGGTGGGCTGAACTTTATTTAAAAATATCCTCATGCCAAATGAGAATTTAAACCTACACAAATAAAAAC